AGAACTGACCTATACCAAGCACCAAGAACTGACCTATACCAAGCACCAATAATCATATGGGTATCTATCTTTCTTTCTTATTTATTTATTTATTTTTGTCTTTTTTGTGACCGGCCGCACCGTGCTCAGCCAGTGTGCGCACCGGCCATCCCTATATAGGATTCGAACCCGCGCGGGAGCGCTGCTGCGCTCCCAGCGCCGCACTCTCCCGAGTGCACCACAGGGTCGGCCCTCCTCATATTTATAATACAGTTTTTCTGTTGTATTTCTGGTCAAATGAAGAGTGAAGGGGTCTTTATTATTACTGGGTTGAGGTTGGAGTAGATATCTTTCATTAAATCTAGTTCTTATTTCATGGTTGAAAGAGTATCTCTTACCTCTGAGGACATTTGTGATTGTTATCTAGTATCAGCATACATCGTTTTTTTCCAACTTCAGTCAGTTGAACTTATATACACAATGGATACTACTCTGCCATAAAAAAGAATGAAATACTGCCATTCATCATAGCAGCATGGATGAACTTAGAGAAAACTGTGTTAAGTGAAATAAGCCAGGCACAGAAAGAAATACCGCATGTTCTCACTCATGAGTGGGAGCTAAAAAATAAATAAATGAATGAATGAATGAAAAATAAATAAATAAATAAGAAAGAAAGAAAGAAAGATAGATACCCATATGATTATTGGTGCTTGGTATAGGTCAGTTCTTGGTGCTTGGTATAGATCAGTCCATGAAACACACAAAGATCTCTGCCAAGTAAAGCTTGGTGGGGAAGGGGATAGAGAAAGTCACAATTGTAATATATTGTGTGAGAAGATGGTAAATGCTATGAAAAAGAGATGGGGGTGGATTCAATTGTGATTTTAAACAGGTGATCAGTATATGCCTCATTGAGAAGGTGGCATTTGACCAAAGACTTGAAGGAGGTAAGGAAGTTAACCATGTGGTATCTGGGCTGGGTTCCGAGGTGGAAGTCTGTCTGGCATATTTAAGGAACAGGAATAGCAAGGAGGCCAGTGTGGGAGAGTGATAAGAGATGAGGTAGGAGCAGTAATGTGGGGTGAAGGCAGTAGGGGGATAGGGGAGCCAGGTCACCTCCTAGTGCTTCCTAAGGCCTGTGCTATCCAATATGGTAGTCAGTAGCCATATGTAGCTATTGAGCACTTGAAATGTGGCTAGTGCCACTGTGGAACTGAATTTTAATTTAAAAAAACTGACACCAATTTTGGTCATTGGAAAACTTAAGTATGTTTGGAACAACTTGGATATGTGAGTCTTCTTTTTCAACTTTAAATTTTCTGAACTGTAAATATTGGTTAAGTATTTATAATGAAAATTTAGCATCCACATTAAACTGTGCTAGGTGTATAAAATACATATTTCAACAACTTAGTTTGAAAAAATAACGTAGACTATCTTAATCATTTTCTTATATTGATTATATATATGTATATTTTTAAATTGTAACATAGTTGATTGTACATATCTGTGCGGTACAGAGTTAAGTATCAATACCTGTGTGCAATATGCAATGCTCAAATCAGGATAATTAGTATATTCAACATTATACAATGTAAATATTTTTTGTGGCCCTCCACCAATTCCTCCTTTACCCCCCTACCCCTCCTCCTCCCCCTCAGTTCTGTTCTATCCTTTTGAAAGTTCAATAAATTATTGTGGTGGTTGTATATTTCTTTTATTTATTTATTTATTTATATATTTTTTTAGCTCCCACTTATGAGTGAGGACATGTGGTATTTCTTTCTGTGCCTGGCTTATTTCACTTAACAGTTTTCTCTAAATTCATCCATGTTGCTGTGAATGGCAGTATGTCATTCTTTTTTATAGCGGAGTAGTATCCATTGTGTAGATATAGCACATTTTCCTTGTCCCGTCATCCAACGATGGACATTTAGGTTGGTTCCAACTCTTGGCTATTGTAAATATCTGTAGAGCTGTGATAAACGTTGGAGTACAGATAGCTCTTCAGCATAATTTCCATTCCTTTAGGTATATGCCCAGCAGTGAAATTGCTGGATTGTTGGCAGTTCTATCTGTAGTTACATGAGGAACCTCCATACTGTTTTCCATAATGGCTGCACCAATTTACAGTCCCACCAACAGTGTAGAAGGGTTCCCCTTTGATCATATGTTGGAATGATAATATTTTGGATATGTTGGCTTAAATCAAATTTAATTTTATTTAATTTTACTTGTTTCTTTTTTAATGTGACTGCTAGAAAATTTCAAATTACATATATGACTTGTTTTATATTTCTTTTGTATAGTGCTATTTTAGGACATTGTAAGGACTTTGGCTTTTACTCTGAGTGAAATGAGGAGCCATTATAACTTTGTGGCTATTCATACACATTGTTGAAGTGTAGAACAAATTTAGAGAATAAAAGCATACATAATTACAAGTAAATATATAAAACTTGCTTTCTTAAGGAGTTTGACAGTTCTAATGATTCAAGGGAGATTTAAAGAAATGGACAAATGATTTATAGCAGGTTATTGAGATGAAGTTAGGTGTCCATGTCCCGCTTTCTGAGGTAGACTTAGGTACCACCTTGGGGTGCAGAATACTGGGGTCAGCAGACTTTTGGCCAACGCAGCATGACATTTTAATTTCTGTTATCATTCATACAGTGAGGCACTGGAGAAAGAACAGTGAGCAAGATAGACATAGTTGGCCTTCATGGAGCTTACGATCTGGTGATAGAGGAATTACAGGGTGCAGGAAGGTAGCAGATGGGGCAGCTAATCCAGAGATGGGCCAGGTAGAGGCTGCAGATTGAGGAACACTGACAGGACTGCAAAGGAGTGCTGGCTGGAGTGTGGTTCATGGAAAAGAAATGGGATAGAAGACGGAAGTGAAACAGGGCAAGGCTGGCTCTTGAAGGGCCTCACAAGCCACAGTAAGGGATTAAGACTTTATTTTGGGAGCATTGGAGTTCTTAGAGGGTTTTAAGCAGAGTCTGATGTGATTGGATTTGCATTTTACAAATATCACTGTGGCTGCCGTGAAGATGATAGATTGGAGCAAGTGTAGGTGCAAAGAGACTGATTATGAGGCTATTACTTTTCTATTAGTAGAGGTAGTATTTTTCTCAGTGTTTCTTATTAGTGATTAAGAACTAGGGTAGCTAAGTTTAAGTAGACACTTACATGTTTAGTAATACACAATGTAAAGTCCAGGGGAAGAAGTGGCACCGTATATCTGTAAAATGTATTTAGCATTTGTATAATCGTCATTTAAGTTCATTTCTGAGACCCAGCAGCATTGGAAAGAAGCATTTACAGACTTTTACAATCTGAGGAGTTGGTTCAACCCCTGTCAAGGGAGATAGAAGAGCTTGCTGCATAAGTGTTTTAACAGTGGATCAGTACTTTTTACATGGCTATCTTGTCAGTTGTTTTCCACAGTTCCTCTTTTGGCAGGTGGAACTTGGGAGCCGTGGGCGAGGTAACAGTTCAAACCTCTGCCTCTTTGTTGGCACTGTGTGTGCTGATCTAAAAATATAGGGACTAAAAATACCCCCAACTTGAAGTTTTTTCTTACAGTTACATGGTGACATTGGGTATTTTTCTTGTCTATATGATTCTTGGTTTGTTAAACTTAAAAAACAAAGGTTCGTTGTTCTCTTTTATTTTGGTTATCTTGATAAAAGCAATAAATTGTTCAACAATGGGAAAATACAGAAGAGTAGAAGGAAAAAATCATCCATAGGCCCTCCCTTTGGAGACAGATTAATTAAAATTTTGGTAGAATTTCCTTCCTTTTTTGTGATTTATTTTGTTTTGTGTTATGTATTTTTTTTTAATGTACTTTTTTTGGATCAGAGTAATTTTATTGTTACATAGTTGTAACCATTCTTTAGATATATGTATCTTTAAAAAAAAAAAAAAAGATGACTGGTTAGGGGATCTTAACCCTTGACTTGGTGTTGTCAGCACCACACTCCCCCAAGTGAGCTAACCGGCTATCCCTACATAGGGACCCAAACCCGTGGCCTTGGTGTTATCAGCACCACACTGTCCCAAGTGAGCCACAGGCTAGCCCAAGTATCTTTTTATATATATGTACATAGTTTTTAAAAAGTGTTATATTTTAGGGGCCGGCCCAGTGGCACACTGCTACAGTGCGCTGCTTGGGAGTGCGGCGACGCTCCCGCCGAGGGTTTGGATCCCACATACAGACCGGCCGCTCACTGGCTGAGTGAGGTGCGGGCACAACACCGAGGGTTGCGATCCCGTTGCCGGTCCCGGTCCGGTACGGGCACGACACTGAGGGTTGCGATCCGTTGCCAGTCACGAAAAAAGACAAAAAGGAAAAAAAAAAAAAAGTGTTATATTTTAAAGCATCTTTAATGTTTTCAATAATATATCAACTGTATGTATAATGTATGTATGCATACATATATATCTCCTATTATTGGCTATTTAAGGTAACCATTTTTTGCTATTATAAGTAACAGTAGGATAACACATTTACACAAAAAGCCCATATTATCATTTTAAAGTCTTTTATTAGGGAACAGTTAGCATGTATGCAGTCTTTAAAGTTTATTGCTACATTGCTACAAGCCAGTTGTAGACCTGTGAGACTTGAGCTTAGCAGCATAGGTAGCAAGTGTGAATCCTTAGGTAATGAATAAAACAGAACCCAGATGATGGGTTTATGTGAATACTCTGGCCAGGTGGCAGGTGCTTGAGAGCACTGTGAGGGCTTGTCTCTTTGCCTCCTTTGTAAACTGTCTGACCCCATTCTGCAGCTTAAGCCTTCACACCATGTTATTGCCTCATAGGGGTCCGAGGAGCAAACTGTCGTCTACGTAGTGGGGAAGGCAGGCCGCCAGCACTGGCAGCATGTCTACACCGCAGCGACCAGGGGCCGCTGCCGAGTATATGTCATTGCAGAAGAGTCTGAGCTCCGGAGCGCAATCTTAAAGGACAGTGTTCCGAGAAGAACACGTTTAAAACGTTTCTTGCAAAATGAGCTGGCTGCTAGCTGTGTTTCTCCAGCGGATTTCCCATCCCCATCAAAGGGCTCAGGAGATGGTGTGGGAGCCAACACCCAGCCAGCAGCATCACCACTGCCTACAGTCACAGCAGGCACAGTGACAAACGATGTCACCAGGAACGAGGCTTCTTCGGCTGATGATGGAAAATGGCAATTATCTTCATCTGATGAAGTGGATACAGATGAGGACTTATCAAAATTGAGAGGGTCCAAGAGAACCTGTGGTGTGAGTGGTGACGAAAGTCCAAGCAAAATTCTTATGGTAGGAGTGATGTTCACACATGCTCAAGTTCTATTTAAATATTTCTAACATCAGTGTGCTTGTAAACGACTGTGTGCTGTTATTAGTGTTGGACTGATTTCTCTCTCTGTCCAGTTTCTCCTGTGCCCAGTTGATCCTAGCGTGCTCTCTCACTCTGCTTGGGACTGGCTCTAGGCGACCTCAGTTGATTGATGGGAGGTGATATAACAAAGAAAACTCTTTGTCACCCTACAGCTTCTTTCTGAAGATCTTCCTTGTCAGACCCCCTCTGCCCTCTCCCCTCTCCACTTTGCAAGCCATAATCTCACTTTTATCCCCACAACTCCATTGAAACAGCTTTTTTTAGTCACCTTCTGGTCTATTTCTGGGGCCTTTTCTTAGGTCTTGTTCTTCTTGACTTTTCCCCTAACATTTAATAGTTTTAACTGCTGCTGCTGTTTCATTGTTTCCTTCCTTTGGTTTATTTCATTTCTCCACTCTTCTATTTCCCATCCATTCACTGTAGACATGTCCCCAAGGCTCAATTCTCTTTTCCTTTGAGAACTGATTCCATTCTCACAGTTTCATTCATCCCCTTTGTGCTGGTCAGTCATTCAACAAAATTTCAAATGTTGACTACATTCTAGGCACTGGGAATTCACAAATAAGTAAGAAACAGTTCTCACTTCCATACCAGTTGTCCGTGATGGAGACAGACAGCAATGAAAGTAACTTGGTGATTTGCTGAGTGTCCTAACACCGAAGAGGAGTTCATGAACCAGCTCCTTATCCGTGTCATTGTTCCGTGACGTTCACTTTCTGGAGCCATAGCCCAACATCTTACTCTCTCTTCTGATTTCCCCGTTTGGATCACCATTCTCCTAGTTACCCACAGCTAAAAGTCTCGGAATCACCTTAGACCCACCTTGCTTTCCACTCTACCTCCAGGTAGTTGCTAGCTTTATTGCAAAGTGCTTCTTTCAGGGGTTTCTTCCAATACATCTAGTCTGCCCTATTTTAGGTCCTTGTCTCATCCTCTTGAATGACTGATGACCTGACTACCTCCTCTCTCTTGTTCTCCTTTTCCTAATATACCCTACACATTGTTATCAGAATACTCTTTGAGTGCTCAGCTGACTCCTTTGTTCAAAAGTCTTCTGTGGCTCCCTAGTGCCTATGACATAAATTCTAGAGTATTTATTTATTTATTAGGTCACCTCTTTATCCACTGTGGACAAAGTAACTTACTTATTTATCTGTTATCGAAACATAATTAATTGTACATATCTGTAGGGTACAGCATTGAATATCAATACCTATGTGCAATATGTGATGGTAAAATCAGGATAATTAGTATATTCATCATTATACTAAGTAATCATTTTTAGTGCCTCTTTACCAATTACTCACTAACCCTCCATGCTCTCCCCCTTTCCGACCTCTGCTAACCTCAGTTCTTCCTTTTGAAAGTTTAGCAAATTATTGTGATTGTTGTATCTTTCTTTTTTTATTTGTTTATTTTTTTAGCTGCCACTTATGAGTGAGGACAGATGATATTTTTTCTTTCTGTGCCTTGCTGTTTCAGTTAACATAATTTTCTCCAAGCTCATCCATGTTTGCTATAAATGGCAGAATTTAATTCTTTTCTATGGCTGAGTAGTATTCCATTGTGTACATATACCACATTTTCCTTATCCAGTTGTCCATCGAGTAACATAATTTTCTCCAAGCTCATCCATGTTTGCTATAAATGGCAGAATTTAATTCTTTTTTATGGCTGAGTAGTATTCCATTGTGTACATATACCACATTTTCCTTATCCAGTTGTCCATCGATAGACATTTAGATTGGTTCCAAATCTTGGCTATTGTAAAGAGAGCTGCGATGAACATGGGAGTACATGTGTCCCTTCAGCATGATGATTTCCACTCCTTAAGATATATACCCATTAGTGGGATTGCTGGATCATATGGTGCTTCTACCTGTAGTTGTTTGAGGAAACTCCATACTGTTTTCTATAATGGCTGCATAATGACTACAGTCCCACCAACAGTGTAGGAGGGTTCCCCTTTCTATACACGCTTGCCAGCATTTGTTGTTCTCTCTTTTTAATAATGGCCATTCTAACTGGGGTGAGATGATATCTCAGTGTGGTTTTGATTTGCATTTCCCTGATGCTTAGTGATGATGAGCGTTTTTTCATGTGTCTGTTAGCCATTTGTATATCTTCCTTTGTGAAATGCCTATTCAGCTCCTTTGCCCATTTTTTAATTGGATTACATGTTTTTTTTACCGTTAAGTTGTTTGAGTTCCTTGTATATTCTGGATATTAATCCCTTGTCGGATGCATAGTTTGCAAATATTTTCTCCCATTCTGTAGGATGTCTTTTCATTCTATTGACTGTTTCCTTTGATGTGCAGAAGCTTTTTTGTTTGATATAATCCCATTTGATTATTTTTTCATTTTGTTGCCTGTGCTTTTAGAGTCTTATACATAAAATCTTTGCTTAGTCCTACTTCCTCAAGTGTTTCCCCTATGTTTTCTTTTAGGACTTTTATAGTTCAGGTCTTATATTTATGTCTTTAATCAATTTTGAGTTGGTTTTGGTATATGGTGAGAGTTACGGGTCTAGTTTCATTCTTCTAAATATGGATGTCCAGTTTTCCCAGCACCATTTATTGAAGACAGTCTCTTCCCCAGTGTATGTTCTTGGTGCCTTTGTTGAAGATCAGTTGACTATAAGTGTGTGGGTTGGTTTCTGTGTTCTCTATTCTGTTCCATTGTTCTGAGTCTTTTTATGCCAGTACCATGCTGTTTTGGTTACTATAGCTTTGTAGTATAATTTGAAGTCAGGTAGTGTTATGCCTCTGGCTTTATTTATTTATTTATTTATGCTACAGATTTCTTTGGCTATTCATGGCCTTTTGTTCCATATTAATGTTAGGATTGTTTTTTCTATTTCATGTAGAATGTCATTGGTATTTTGATGGGGATCGCATTGAATCTACAGATTGCTTTGGGTAGAATAGACATTTTCACAATGGTAATTCTTTCAATCCAAGACCATGGAATGTCTTTCCATCTTTTTGTGTCCTCTTTAATTTCTTTTAGCAGTCATTTGTAGTTCTTGTTGTAGAGATCTTTCACCTCATTGGTTAAATTTATTCCTCGATACTTTATTTTTTTTTGGTGACTCTTGTATTGCTTTCTTTATTTCTTTTACTGCTAGTACTTTGTTAGAGTATTAAAATGCTACTGATATATATGTGTTGATTTTGTATCCTGCAACTTGTCATTTATCAGCCCTAAGAGGTTTTTTTTTTTTTTTTTTTTTTTGGTAGAGTCTTTAGATTTTTCTATGTGTAGGATCATGTCATCTGTACACAGGGACACTTTGACTTTGTCTTTTCCAATCTGTATTTCCTTTGTTTCTTTCTCTTGCCTGATTACTCCAGGTAGTGCTTCCAATACTATATTAAATAGGAGTGGTGAGAGTGGGCATCCTTGTCTTGTTCCTGTTCTTAAGGGAAAAGCTTTTATTATGTTGAGATACTTTCCTTCTATACCTAATTTCCTGAGAGTCTTTATCATGAAGGATGTTGAATTTTGTCAAATGCTTTTTCTGTGTCTGTTGAGGTAATCATATGGTTTTTGTCCTTGATTTTGTTGATGTGGTGTATCACATTTATTGACTTGTGTATGTTGAACCATCTTTGCATCCCCGGGATGAATCCTGCTTGATCACAGTGTATAATTTTTTTGATGTGTTTCTGTATTCTGTTAATTGTTGAGGGGTTTCCTGTCTATGTTCATCAGAGATACTGTCCTGTATTTTTCTTTTTTTGTTGTATCTTTGTCTGGTTTTGGTATCAGGGTGATGCTGGCCTCATAGAATGAGTTTGGGAGAATGGCCTCTGTTTGTTTTTTGGAGTAGTTTGAATTAATTCCTCTTTAAAGAAACTAGCCAAGGAGACTGAAAAGTAGTGTCAGTGAGATAGAAGGAAAACCAGAGTGGTGCGGAGGGACAAAAGTCTGATCAGAGTGGGCTGGTGAGAGAATAGAGGAGCAGTAGAAGCTGTTTATGAGGAGGGTTGCTATGAAAAGAAGCAAAGAGATAGGGTTGTATCTGGATGGAGGACTTGTTGTCAAGGAAGGATTTATTGAGTTGAGTTATTTACTTTGGATTGGCAAATTAAGGCATCTTAGTGTGTTGCTGGAATGGTTAAATGGAGAATGAGAAATTCATGATTCAGAGAGGGAGGATAGTTGCAGGAATGTAGTCCTGAAGTGGGTGAGATTGGAAAAATCATGAGTGTAAGTAGAGCCCTTAGATCGAATTGGGTCAGAGGGCACCTTTTCCATTGCAACCAGAAGGGAATGGGTGCAGTACATTTTTGGGTATATACAATGGAGGGAATATAAAGTAGTTCTTGGCTCAGTTAGCTTCTCTCATCCTCTCTCTCTTCCTATTAGAATCCACTCAGTTTCCATTTTGTTCATCAAGTCCTCCCTTTCTTTGAACTCCTTTGGAGGGCAACTCATCTCCCCTCTGTACTGCAGTTGCAGTAACCATCTTGTTTGATCTGTAAAGAAAGCTTCTTGAAGACAGTGCTTGTATCATTTTTGATCTGCTAGAATGTTTGGTACAATTGCTAATCATGTGATATGTACTTCAAAAATACTTAATGACTAAAATATGTTTTGAATATATGACAATGAAACTTAAAAAAAAATTACACCTTTAGAATATTGTTCTTTCAGGTCATACTCAAAGTCATACTTATTCTTGTAGTGTACCCCCCACCCCTTTACTTTGAGAATTCCTTTTGGAATCATTTTCAGAGGTAGTAAAAGATTCTTTTGAATGTTTATAAGGGAAGCAAATTACTATTGAGACCTCTTTGGATTTTTAGAAATAACCCAAAGTCATTTGTTTTCTGGTTTTATGAGCTGGATGGTCCAATTTGGGTAATACCATTTTGTCTTTTTAAAGAAAAGGTGGGGTTATAAATTATTTCCAAATGTAGTTCCAACAGAAGCTTAGGAGTTGCTTTATCTGCCAACAGCAGACTTGTTAGGTTGAATCTTTAGGCTTCCAAGGCTGGAATAAAGATAAGAAGGGGCCACGGTGGGATCCCAGAGGACGAAGTGCTAATGTAACCCGCCCATACCAGGCTGAGTTCTAAACAGGGAGTCCTTATGTTCTCTGTTCCCAGATAGAGATTAAAATGTTCTTTGAGAGTTTGCCTGACAAAGGGCACGGTGTGTAATGTATTGGCATATTTGGCAACCATAAGTATAGAACAGTGTGGCTAGAGCACAGTGTGCAAATGAGGGGTTCGGCTGAGGATACAGGAAGTCAGGAAGGACAAAGGGTCTGGTGAAGAGATTGTACATTGTTCTGATTGTAACAGGGAACAGTAGGAGCATTTTAAGTCTCCGTGAATTGAAATTTGTAAACGTGACTTTGTAGTTTGGTGGATGATGGTTAGGAAGAGACTAAAAGATGAGTTCTCAGCAAAAAGATTATTTCAATATTCTGGATTAAATGATTGGGCTGTAAAATTAGGGAATAGCAATGGGATGGAGAAGGGATGCTAAAGGGTAGAGATGATGGGACTTAGCGCTCAGTTATGTACAGGTGGGGTTGGGGCTAAGGATGGCTCCTAGGCTTCTGGCCGGGGCATATGGGTAGACAGGTGCTATTAAACAAGACTGGGAAAAAGGCCGAGGGACAGGTTTTATGGTAAAGATGATTAAAGTGAACAGAGTGAAAAACTTTCTCCTTCTTTACCCCTTGGCAGTAGTAGAATCCTGATGATTCCAGGCTTCGTTCTGCACCCCAGATCAATGCTTCGATATGGAATTTCTATCTCAGTAAAACATCTTTTTTCTTTTCTTTTCTTTTCTTTTTTTTTAATGACTGGTAAGGGGATCTTAACCCTTGACTTGATGTTGTCAGCACCACACTCACCCAGTGAGCTAACCAGCCATCCCTATACAGGGATTCGAACCTGTGGCCTTGGTGTTCTCAGCACCACACTCTCCCAAGTGAGCCACAGACTGGTCTAAAACATCTTTTTTTCTGAAAGTAAACTTGTTCTCACTTGAAAAGGCCTTGGAATAAGGCTTTTGACCTGTGCAGAAAATAGAAGCAATTCCAAAGAAAGAGCCTTTTTCTAAAAGTTTCTTGCATTATCTTTCTTAGCACCAACATGGGATGGGGGGTTATGGTTTATGTGAAGGTACAAAGAGAAAATGACAGCATTATTCATCATCAGTTCTGAACTTGCCAAAGCTTTAAGCTCTGGCCATGGCCAATATTGCAGGTGTATGAACATAAAGAATGACAGTGGGGCTGTCCAGTGCTGGCTGATGTCACTGCAGAATGGCAGCAGCTAAAAGTTCTCTAACTGAAGAGGATAAGTTTTCCCACAAGGTTTGCCAAATGTAAGTGACATCTATAGGAATCCCTAGAAATAAGGAAACTAAGGATTCCAAGCTTCAGGACTGATAGATACGGACTTCTGTGTTCCCATCATTCTAGACTTTCAGGTACATTGAGATTTGTCATTTCTGAAGGTCGAATTCAGCAAGAAGGACTGCCCACATACTCTTCTTTCACACTTCCATTGTTGTAGAAGAGCCAAATCAGTGTTGACATTCTACAGATACTAATGACAGCCCCTCCTAGATGAAAGCTTTTGTGCTTCTCCATGAATTAATAGCTTTGGGTTTTGAAAAAAGTCCTAAAAGAAAATGTTGACCTGATATTTTGCCTATCCTCCCTGCACCAGGAAGAAAAGGAGGAAAAACAGAAATTGACCTTTAGATAAAAATATATGATAAGGAGGGCTGGCTGGTTAACTCAGTTGATCGGAGCATGGTGTTACAACACTAAGGTCAAGGGTTTGGATCCTCACACTGGCTAGCCACCAAAACAAAAAGCAAAACCAACTAACGAACAAAAACATATGAGAAAGCATTGCTAAAATGTGTCATTATGATGCAGTGATTTCCAGAGTTTTTTTTTAAGGATAGTCCTTAGGTTAGTCAAGGTTCTCCAGTGAAACAGAACAGTTATGATGTCTCTGTGTCTGTCTATTGATCTGTCTGTCTCTATCAAGAGAGATTTATTCTAAGTAATTGGCTCACGTAATTGTGGAGGCTGGCAGATCCAAAATTTGCAGGGCTGGAGTGCAGACTGGAGACCCAGGGAAGAGTTCATGCTGCAATTTGAGTCTGCTGGCAGAATTCCTTTTTCCTCGGGGGAGGTCAGTCTTTTTTCTATTCAGGCTTCAACTTATTGGATAAGGCCCACTCACACTGTGGAGGGTAATCTACTTTACTCAACTTCTACTGACTTAAATGTTAATCTTATGTAAAATATGCCTTTGCAGAAACATCTAGAGTAACATTTGGCCAAATATCTTGATACCTTGGCTTTTAGCCAAGTTGACACATAAAATTAACTGTCATAGTCCTCCTAATTGAACAAATTTAGCATTGTGAAAGATGAATTGAATTGTGTTTATTTTTCTCATTTCCCTATGGTGGTGAAACTTCATTGTGACCACAGTGGCCCATTATTGACTTATGTTTGGGAATCACTAAGAGTATGAAGAATATGATTGTGGCATTGCAGTGTTTCAACTTATCACATCCAGAGCTGGCTTCATGGGCATGAAACCTGAGGAGTTGTGCAGGGCTCTGTGCTTAGAAAAGCCTCTTTTTTATTGCTCTGTAGTCACCATCTTGAAATTCTTAATTTTCTAACAGGAGCCTCACATTATGTAGTGTGCCCTTCCACACTTTTGGAAGTTAGATGCAAGTACTCATTCAGTAAATAGTCACTTCTGTATGCCAGATCCAGAGCCAGATGCTGTGAGCAAAAGCAGACATGATCCTGCAAGGAGCTGACAGCTGGCTGCTCTGGTTGTCTTTGAAGCGTTGAGAAAAATGTATTATTTCTTTTTTAGAAGCATAGGGTAGATTGACTTAAGTTTCGTTTTTGCAAAATTAACTTTGTTTTTATTATTGTTACTAACAGGTAGAAGAATCAACTCCACAAATGTCTTCCAGACTTCAGAATTTGAGACTAAATAACCTAATCCCCAGGCAACTTTTCAAACCTGCAAATAATCAAGAAACTTAATTTTATTTCACATTGCTCAAAATGTCTATTTTTTTTTTTTTACATTCAATACAAAGTGGACACTGTAGCTTCAAAGTATGAAGATAAAAGACGATGGATGCTTAGACTGGAGTTTTAAGACGTTTGTGTTTGCAGATGTTTTAAATCCATTTGATCAATGAAAACTGTAATGATTTCAGTATCTCTCATCATGAGAACTAGTAGCACAGGACATAAATGGAGGAAAAAGATGTTTTATATATATACATTTTTAAATTGTGTACTTTAAAAAGTTTTTTTTTTAGGATAGTTCCTTATAAACTTCCATGATCATTGAGAGTTTTCTTTGCTGATGGGGTTAAGCAGTGGCAAAGATAAACTGTAATTGCACCTGTTGATAATATTGACACACATTCCAGATGTTGGATCTTCTGCAAAGTGGTCATTTTCCAAGGCTGCCGCTCATTCCATCATTGCTACCTGGGCCCAGCACACCTTGGACTTTTTTCTGGAAATGCCCTCTGAGTTGGGTGCATAATGTTTTGAATGTACTCCACGTTGGAAAAAAGTTTTTTCTCTCATAGTGATTTGACTGTAGAAAGAAAAAGTTTAGAGGAATAATGCACCTGTTATCCCAATGTTATTTTAAATAGTTCTATTAAGATATAATTCACCAATTTAAAGTGTAAAATTCAGTGGCTTCTCGTATATTCACAGAGTTGTGCAACCATCATCACAATCAATTTTAGAACATTTTCATACCCCCCAAAGAAACCCCACATCCCTTAGCCATAATCCCCAGATCCCCTCCAGCCCTAGGTACTAGTCTACCTACTCTACATAAATTAGCATATTCTGGACATTTCCCGTAAATGGAATCATACAATATGTGGTCCTTTGTTACTAGCTATGACTAGCATAATGTATTCAGATTTCATCCATGTTTTATCAGTAATGTATCACTGCTTCATCTCTTTTTATTGCCAAAAAATATCCCATTATATGGATATAGCACATTCAATTTATCCATTCATCAGTTGATGGACATTTGTGTCGTTTCCACTTTTTGGCTATTAAGATTAATACTGCTATAAACATACATTTACAAGTTTTTGTGTGGACACAAGTTTTGATTTCTCTTGGGTATACAACTAGGAGTAGAATTGCTGGGTCATGCGTATGGTAATTCTATGTCTAACCTTTTGAGGAGTTGCCAGACTGTTTTCCAAAGAAGCTGTACCATTTATAGTCTCACCAGCAGTGTATGAGAGGTCCAGATTCTCCACATTCTTCTCAACATTTGTTATCTGACGTCTGGATTATAGCTATCTGAGTGGTATTTCACTGTGTGAAGTGGTATTTCACTGTGGTTTTGGTTTGCATTTTCCTTATGACTAAAAATGTAGAACATTCTTCATGTGCTTATTAGCCATTTGTATGTCCTGTGGAGAAATGTCTATTCAGATCTTTTGCCCACTTTTAAGTTGGATTGACTTTTTATTATCAAAATGTAAGAGTCCTTTATATATTCCACATTCAAGTCTACTATCAGAGACCTAATTTTCAAAATTTTTCTCCTATTCTGTGGATTTTATTTTTACTTTCTTGATGATGTCCTTTGAAACACAAGTTTTTAATTCTGATCATGTCCAGTGTATCTATTTGTGTTGTTGTTGCTTGTGCTTTTGGTGTTATATCCAAGAAACCGTGGCCTATTCAAAGTCATGAAGATTTACTCCTATTTTTTCTTCTAAGAGTTTAATAGTTTTAGCTCTTACATTTAGATTTTTGATTCATTTTGATTCATTTTTATGATTTTTATGTATAGTGTGAGGTAGGGGTCCCACTTCATTTTTTTGCATGTGGGTATCCAGTTGTTCCAGCTCCATTTCTTTTTTTTTTTTTTTGTCTTTTTTCGTGTCCGGCAATGGATCGCAACCCTCAGTGTCGCGCCCGTACTGGACCGGGACCGGCAACGGGATCGCAGCGCTCGGTGCGGCCCCCGCACCTTGCTCAGCCAGTCAGCGGGACCCGGTCTGTATGGGGGATCCGACCCCTCGGTGGGGGCGCCGCCGCGCTCCCAAGCGGCGCACTGTATCAGTGCGCCACCGGGCCGGCCCGTTCCAGCTCCATTTCTTTTTTTTTTTTTTTGTCTTTTTTCGTGTCCGGCAATGGATCGCAACCCTCAGTGTCGCGCCCGTACTGGACCGGGACCGGCAACGGGATCGCAGCGCTCGGTGCGGCCCCCGCACCTTGCTCAGCCAGTCAGCGGGACCCGGTCTGTATGGGGGATCCGACCCCTCGGTGGGGGCGCCGCCGCGCTCCCAAGCGGCGCACTGTATCAGTGCGCCACCGGGCCGGCCCGTTCCAGCTCCATTTCTTGAAGAGATTATTCCTTTCTCATTGAATTGTCTTGGTACCATTTTCAAAAATCAATTAACTATAAATGTGAGGGTTTATTTATGGATTCTCAAATGTATCCCATTGATCCACACATCTGTTCTTTTGCCAGCACCACACTGTCTTCATTACTGTAGTTTTGTAGTAAGTTTTGAAATCAAGAAGCATGTCCTCCAACTTTGTTCTTCTTTATCAAGGTCTGGCTATTCTGGGTCTTTTGCTTTTCTATATGAATTTTAAGATCCACTTGTCAGTTTCTGCAAAGAAGCCAGCTGAGATTTTGATGGGGATTGCATTAAAATCTGTAGATCTGCAGAGTATTGCCATTTTAACAGTATTAAGTCATATGATTCATAAACGTGGCATGTGTTTCCATCTATTTAGGTCTTTAATTTCTTTGTAGTTTTCAGAGTATAAGTTTTGTATTTCTTTTATTGAATTTACAATGCTTTGTTATTACGTTTATTCTGTATTTTATTCTTTTGATCCTGTTGTAAATGGAATTGTTTTCTTAATTTATTTTTTGTTTGTTCATTGCCACTATATAGAAATAGTCAATTTTTGTATATTAATCTTGTCTTCCAACCTTGCTAAACTTGTTTATTAGTTTCAATAGGTTTTTAGTGGATTCCATACAATTTTCCATGTAAGAGGTCATATAATTTGCACATAGAGACGGCTTTAATTCTTCCTTTTCAATCTGAATACGTTTTATTTTATTTTCTTGCCTTAATAACCTGGCTAGAACGTTTAGTACACTGTGGAATAGAAGTCGTATGAGTGAACATCCTTGTCTTGTTTTTGATATTAGGGGAAAGCATTAAATCTTTAACCATTAATTATGATGTTAGCTGCAGTTTTTCTTTGAAGCCCTTTATCCTAGTTTATTGTGTGTTCTTATCATGAAGGGACTTTGAATTTGTCACATGCTTTTTCTATATCTATTGAAATGAACATGTAGTTTTGTCCTTTAGTGTACCGATATGGTGTATTATATACTGATTTTTGGATGTTAAATCAACCTTACATCTCTGGGGTAAATCCCTCTTGCTCATGGTGTAGAATCCTTTTTATATGCTGCTGTGTTCAGTTTGATAGTTTTTTGTTGAGGATTTTCCTATTTATATTCATAAGAGATGTCAGTCTGTAGTTTTCTTTTCTTGTGATGTCTTTATCTGGCTTTGGTATCAGCGTAATGCTGACCACACAGAATGAGTTGAGAAGTGTTTCCTCCTCTTCTATTTTGGAAGAGTTTGTGAAGAATTGGTACTAATTCTTCTAATTCTTCCTGGGCCTTTCTTTGTGGGAAATTTTAAAATTACTAATTAAATCTCTTTACTTGTTATAGGTCTATTGAGACTTTTTATTTCTTCTTAAGTCAGTTTTGATAGTTTGTGTCTCAAGGAATTCATCCATTTCACGTGTCTTATTTAGTTTGTTGGCATACAGTTTATCATAGTATTCCTTTATAGTCCTTTTTATTTCTGAAAGGTTGGTAGTAAAGCCTGTCTTTCAGTCCTGATTTAGTAATTTGAGACTTGTTGTTTTCCTTTTCTCTTGTTTTTTTTTGTAATTGGCTGGTATGGGGATCCAAACCCTTGACTGTGGTATTAAAACACCATGCTGTAACCAGTTGAGATAGTTGGCCAGCCCTATTTCATTAATTTAAATTCATCTTTACTATTCATAGGAGGAGCTGTTAAGAAAGAGTTGCATGTTGGCTCAAGTTGAGGTTTGGTCACAGCTCAGGAGCCTGGGGAAAGGAAGCTTAATATTTTGTCTAGATTGGTCAGTGTATACAAACAGTTCAGCTGATCATTTATGAAGCAAAGAATGGGAATTTGTGGACTGGTCTGTGTCTGATTTTGTTATAGGTAAACAAGGAGGTACATCTGTCAGTCTTATCTCAGTCATATTGGGAAGGATGGTTCTTTGCAATAAACCATTTCTGGGAACGCAAAGGCTGGTGGGCAGGGGATTGGTGTGTGGGGGCATACTACCAATCTCACAGAAATAAAATTTCTTTAACTATGGCTGTATTCCAGAACATAGGGCTCAGGTAGAGTTTTTTCGTTTTTAAAAATTTATTATTATTATTATTATTTACATTCTAAGATGTTGTTGTGAAGCTTTGGGGCAGGGAGGTGGGGGAAAAGGGGAGCAGAGAGGTAGGGGAGAGGGGCTAGCCCATGGCTGGCTCCTTTGCTGGCCTGGTTGAGGATGGCAGGGGGGTGGGGGGGCAGGCAGGAGCCCAGGGGCTTCCAGCAGTGGCTCAGTTGTCGCTGAGCTGGATGCAGATGTCAGGGGGCTGTGTATTAAGCCCGTGGCCCCCCACCACCTGGCTTGGGGGTCCGGGGTTCTTCCTGCAGTGGCTCAGTGGTCATCACTGGGCTGGTTGCAGAAGTCAATGTGCATGGCTGGGGCCCTCCGCCCTTCCCCCTCAGGTAAGGTTTAACATTGTCAAGAAGAACTTGAAAACTAGCCTTTTCTTCTTAAAACACAATGAAATTAATACTATAGTGACTGAATATTCCAGAGCACTAGTTTTTATATTGTGAATGTGCTATTGACCTGTGTACAAATAACTTACCCAATTCAGAATTCTATAAGATTTCATTAAAAGAGGACAGTTCTAGGAGCCCATGATTTGGCTTTAAATCAAATAGTGTTTAATTGCAATATGTTAAAATTGCAATGGCCAGCTAATCCAGTTTACTACTCTAATAGACGCCCATCAGTCACCAGTGGAAATTACACTGCTAATGCTAAAGGTCTTGACTGGATAGCCAGAACCATTGTACAACACTAGCGTTAGAAATAGCTTCCTTAGGGCCGGCCTGGTGGCGCACTGCTACAGTGCGACGCTTGGGAGCGCGGCGGCACTCCCGCCGAGGGTTCGGATCCCACATACAGACCGGCCGCTCACTGGCGGAGCGGGGGGCGGGCGCAACACCGAGGGTTGCGATCCCGTTGCCGGTCCCGGTCCAGTATGGGCGTGACACTAAGGGTTGCGATCCGTTGCCGGACACGAAAAGTGACAAAAAGAAAAAAAAAAAGAAAGAAATAGCTTCCTTATATTAAGCTGAAATCTGCCTGATTGATTAGGACCTCCATCAGCAGGTCCTGATACTGACCCAGTGAAACAAAAACAGACCTTGTCTCCTCTGCTCACCTGGCCATGTTTGTCCACAGTTCCCTTTACCACTCCTCCAGTGGCAAAGCACCAGACCCTTTCAGTTCAAATCTGCCTGATTGATTAGGACCTCCATCCGCAGGTCCTGATACTGACCCAGTGAAACAAAAACAGACCTTGTCTCCTCTGCTCACCTGGCCGTGTTTGTCCACAGTTCCCTTTACCACTCCTCCAGTGGCAAAGCACCAGACCCTTTCAGTTCATAGTTTGCCACTGCCCTTTTTAAAGGACTGGGGTGCTCAAAACTTGTGGGCTGACCACAGCATAGAGGAACTCTTCCTTTGACCTGGTCACTTTATTTGAAAAGTGCAACTTAAATCATTTGTTTTAACAGCCATATTCTATCGTTAATTTTAGTTTTGGCTTACAACTGAAAGATCCCAGTCTTTCACAGGAAATACAGCTTCTCATCTGCCTTTATTCACATCATCAGTTCTATCCACACCTAATTTCATTTACTTCAGCTCACTTCTTATGCAGAAATTAGGCCAGACTATATAACTATACAGTGCAATAAAAACTTGAACAATTGCTTGGATTTTGTGATAATAGATCACTTGGGGTCATGTGACTCCCACGTGCTAGAAAATAGCCTGTCTTTCAGAATGTAACCCTGGGCACACTGAATGCAAATGTATAAAAATGAATGTAAATTTACAAGTCCTACAAAAATGAAAATGTTGGGATACAGGTGTCGTTTGTCTTTTTTTTTAAGATAGCATTGTTAAAGTTTGTATGTTTTAACAGTTTATGTAAATGTATCTCATAGACTACTTGAAATGATAAAATGTTGTCTAAGGGTAGATGTTGTGACCTTTAAACTATCTCTCTTTCCTCTAAAGTAAATGTTACCATTGGAGATGTTCCTGTGTACAAGTGTGTTACCCCCTCTTCATATATTTCACCCCTGGTCCTCACAACAGTCCTGTGGTATATACAGACATGACCTTCAGTATCAGGTGGGGAAAACGACTCCTGGTGAGTAACTTTCGTACCACCAATGAGTACCAGAGCTGGAATTCAAACCCGGTTCTGATTTCAAAACCCCTGCTCTTCCCACTCTTCCTTGGTCCTTTTCAAGTTCACGGCAAAACTTTCCCCATTAGAAAACTATGTAAAAATAAACATTGTGTGGGACTCAGGCTAGAACACTGAGATGTATTCAAAGCATCAAAAATGCATGTCTTTTTTTTTTTTGGCTTTTTAAAATCACTGTTTATTCCATTTGGTAGAGGCTTTTTTTTTTCTTTTTCCCCATACAAATATTTGCAACAATTTTGAATCCCCCAAAACCATACATAGACGATAAATACCATGCTATTAAAGTATTAAATTTGTACAAAAATACTTTACAGTTTAATACTTGTTTGTTACAAATAAAAATACATATTTAAGTGACTCATGATCTTTTTTTTTTTTCCTCAATGTGATTCTGCTTTATACTTTCTTGCCCTGGCGGTTCTGAAATGTGATTGAAATAGTATATTTCTTTGCACAAAAAGAAATGTGAACTTTTTCCTTAAACAAAGGACACAGTGTTTGAATGCTTTGCCTAAGTGGTTGTTGGAATTATTGACCAAAATGAAAATGTTTGGAAAATAATCATTTCAATATGGAGATTCTACCATCAATATACAGATCTATTTTTAAATATTCACCAAATAACAGTTATTAGTGTAGCTATTCAAAATATCTGAACAAATGAAAACAGTTGCTGACAAACATTAAAAGCAACTGTCACAATTTATTGCTTTGAGGGATGGTAATAATTGGCAATGCATTTTGTGAAAAATGTATTTACAATTTCGGTAAGTGGCATGGCTCAGAACAAAAGACAGTCCAGTGTCATTTTTAAGTACATGTGCTGTACACCCCTCAGTATTACCAGTTTTCCAAACCTGTCAAGCAGTATGAGTTTTATTTGCCTATCATTAAGATGAACCTCATTTTAATACTCTTCATTCTCTCTTAAGTTCTTAGTCTTGAATTTAAAAATAAGATAACTAATTCTGTGTTACTACACATTCTAATTCATTATCAGATTTTTAGCTATTAAAAATGTGTCCTTAAAAAAAAACAGGTCACAAGACATATCCTGTTTGATAACTTGTTGCATAGGGAATAGCATACATCTTACTTAAAATCATTCCTATATTTGGGCAAAACATTTACCACCACCTATTATGGGCTCCCACGTGCATCATTGCTGAAACATTTTAAGATAATTTTATACCTGTACCCCTCCCACTGCGGCAGTTCCAGTCGGTTACCAAGCACTAGATCCCCAGCACAGCCAGCTTTCTGAAAAGACTTGTTGGTCAAGTCTTAACGTTAATGACTTCATAGTAAGAAACTGATTTCAAAGTGAATTAAGGAAATCATCATAGAGAATTTTTCAAACACATATCTCCTTTTAAAAAGTGATAGTAAGATGAACTTGTAAAAAATTTCCTCTGATGTTAATTGTGGGGAGGGGCAGCCTACTTACTTTTCTCTACCATTGGGCCTGGCAGGGAATTGCCTGCCATATACCATAGTGGTCACCAAAAAAGAAACCTCTTCAACTTGAAAAGGGAAGTGAACATGAGCCATGAGAGAGATTTAAAAGACCCCTGTGCTTGCAGTTAATGCCACATGATTATCTGTGCTTCAAATGTCACAGAAATCTTAAAGGGATTTTTTTAGCACCATGTAGATATCGTCTTTTGTCCTACTTTATAAAAAGCATTGCTATAATGTATTAGTGGGTTCTCGTGTCTCCAAATTACCACCATGGCTAGGCTGTTGGAAAAAAGCACTATTCTGTTCACTCCAGTCTCCTCCTGGTAGAGTCTGTTGTTCTATAGACTTCTGTGAAGCCAGTGGGTTTCTACTAATAACCAGGTCCAGCTTGTTACCAGATTCTGCTATGAGGGGCACGACAAGGCAGCAGTCAAAGTCTCTCGTTCGGACGTGATTAACCTGCAAGGTCAAGAAGAGCCATTTTGAATTACTGTTGTAGCCATAATTGCCAAAACCCAGAGTAACACTTCAGGTGTAACAAGTTGTTTAGAGTCTTGAGGGTGCTTAAACAAGCACCCTGTACCTTGCTCTGCCTGCACCATAATGTGGCTTTGGTTCAGTTATCATTGTCTACTACTGGATCGCAATGCCCTTGAGAGCAGGAAGCAAGTACACCTACCATCCCCATGCTGAGCAGATCACCTCACCCATGTGGGGTGCTCCACGTGCTGAATTTTATCTGCCATCAACAGATAAGGACAGTGAGGCACAGAGAGGGTAAGAGCTTTGCCTTAGGTGAGAAGTTGGTAAGGGTTGAGCTAGGATGCAATCCCAAGCAGTCTGGCTGGTCCCAAAGCCTGTGCTCTCAGTTGTGATGCTGAACTTCCTTAGGCGTGAGCCCTGTCCTCCCTCAGCTTATGTGTACGCTCATCTTCCATGTCTCCTTCTTCACCAACAAGTTTTAAAAGTCATCTACATGCCGCTTCCACTCCTTGACTTCCCATTCTTTCCTCAATCTTCTGAGGTCCAGAACCTGAGACTTACATGGCACTGATGGCAAATGACCCCAATTGTCATGTCCTGGAGTGGGCTCAAATTATCCTCCTTGCTGCTCTTGACACTGACTCATCCACCAAAGTCTCCTTCCTTGGTTGCTATAACACCACTTTATTTTGATCCTCTTACTTTTGTAACTGCTTGTTTTCAGTACATTCCTGCCTTTATTTCTTCCTGTACTTTAATTTTGTTATTGTTAGAATTCTATCCTCGGTTCTCTTCTCTTGCTCACCCCAGGGAACTTTATCCAAACCCATTTTGAGTGCAACCTGGCAGATTCTTTTCCTTTAATAAAGCTTGATCAGTACCCATGTTTTAGCTCACTTTCTTTCAAATTCCACCTGAGGTCTTACCTGTAAGAGCCTGTCATAGGGCTTTAGGCCACCAAGATCTCCTGGCCCAGCTGGGCGAATATTTTTGACATATACTCCTTTCTCCAGCATGCCATCTGCTACACTGAACCCAAAGTCCTCCATGTCAGAGTCCTTGTACAAGGTCACCTGAAAAGTGAGAAAATGTGAAGGGAAAATTTACTGGAGCTTTTCTTCTGAAACTTCTTGATTAAGTCTTTTCAATCCAATTTCAGTAACATAATGGATTTTTAATATAAGCATTAAACAGCTTCCCCTGTCCAGAAGCAGCAGTCCCTTCAAGATCCAAGCCAGACATCAGGGTGAAACAAGTGGACTGTGATACCCCTGGCCACAATGACAAAACACCAAAGGAAAGAAACCAGAAATATGGAAAATCAAAAAAGTACATCACCACCAAAGGAAATTAATAACTTTCAAGTGCTAGATCCTATAGAATAGGAAGTCTTTGAAATGACTGACAAGGAATTTAGAGTAACTATTTTAAGGAAACTAAATGAGATACAAGAAAACTCAGTGAAACAACACAATGAAATGAGAAAAAATATACAGGATCTGAAAGAAGAAATGTACAAAGAAACCAATGCCTTGAAAAAGAATGTATCTGAGCTTGTGGAGCTGAAAGATTCATTCAGCAAAATAAAAAACACAACAGAGAGTTTAACCAGCAGACTTGAACAAGCAGAAGAGAGAATTTCTGACCTCAAAGACAGGCTGTTTGAATTACCACAGGCAGACCAGAAAAAAGAATCAAAAAAATTGAAGAAAGTTTAAGAGAGACAACTGACAACCTTAAGTGCTCAAATATATGAATCATGGGTATTCCAGAAGAGGAGGAAAAAGGAAATGGCATTGAAAACATATTCAATGAGATAATAGCAGAAAACTTCCCAGGTATAGGGAAAGTCCCAGATCCCCAGATTCAGGAAGCCCAAAGATAACCAAACACATTCAACCCAAAAAGGTCCTCTCCAAGACATGTGATAACCAAACTGACAAAATTTAAAGACAAAGAGAGAATCTTAAAAGCTGCAAGAGAGAAGCAGCAAGTCACCTAGAAGGAAGCACCAATTGGAATAACATCAGACTTTTCCTCAGAAACTCTAAAAGCCGGAAAAGAATGGGATGATATATTCAAAACACTAAAGGACAAAAATTGCCAGCCAAGAATACTTCACCCAGCAAGGCTATCCTTCTGAGATGAAGGACAAATACTATATTTCTCAGACAAACAAAAACTGCAGGAGTTTACTACCAGACAACCAGCCCTACAAGAAATTCTCAAGGAAGTACTGGGTTTGATACCACAAAACCAACCATCACTCCCAAGAATCCACAAGAAAGAACGATACATACCAGTAAAACAAAAATGCTAACAAAAGAGAAAAAAAATAGTTTATCTATCATCCCAAGAAATCAACAAATACAGAAGACAAACAGAAAATCTGAAAGTAAGGAACGAAAGATACTTAAGACATCTAAACAAAAATCGGTACAATGCTAGGAGTAAATCAACACCTTTCAAAAATAACTGAATGTAAAGGGACTAAATTCCCCATTCAAAAGACACAGTCTGACTGACTGGATTAAAAAGATGGACCCAATAATATGCTGTCTCTAAGAGACTCACTTGACCTGTAAAGACACACAAAGACTAAGAGTGAAAGGATGGAAAAAAATGTATCATGCAAGTAGAAACGAAAAATGAGCTGGAGTAGCTATTCTTATATCAGATAAAATAGACTTTAAAACAAAAACCCTTAAAAGAGATAAAGATGGCCAATATATAATGATAAAAGGATCTACCCATCAAGAAGACATAACAATCATAAATATATACACACCTAATGTTGGAGCAGCCAGATTTACAAAGCAAACACTATTAGATCTAAGGACAGAAATAGACACTAACACCATAATAGCAGGAGACCTGAACACCCCACTGTCATCATTGGACAGATCATCTATGCAAAAATCAACAGAAAAACACAAGATATAAACAATACTTTAGACCAATTGGATTTGGCAGATATCTACAGAACATTCCACCCAACAACCTCAGAATATTCATTCTTCTCATCAGCACATGGAACATTCTCCAGGATAGACCACATGTTCTAGGTCACAAAGTAAATCTTAACAAATTCAAAAAATTGGAATTGTTCCATGTATTTTTTCTGATCACAATGGATTACAATTAGAAATCAATAATAAACAAAACTCTAAAAACTATACAAACTCATGGAAAATAAACAACATTCTACTTAATGACATGTGGATCCAAGAAGAAATTAAACAGGAAATCAAAAAATTTCTTGAAACTAATGAAAATAATGATACATCATACCAAAACCTGTGGGATACCACAAAAGCAGTATTAAGGAGGAAAATTTATTGCATTAAATGCTTACTTCAGAAGAATGGAAAGATGGCAAATAAATAACCTAACACTTCACCTTGAAGATCTAGAAAAACAAGAACAGTCCAAACCTAAAGTCAGTAGACAGAAAGAAATAATTAAGATGAGAGCAGAACTAAATGAAATAGAAACACGAAAAATAATACAAAAGATCAATGAAACAAAAAGTTGGTTTTTTGAAAAGATTAATAAAATAGACAAACCTTTAGCAAACTAAGAAGAGAGAAGACCCAAATAACAAAAATTAGAAATGAAAAAGGTGATATTACAACTGACACCTTAGAAATACAAGGAATCATTAGAGACTATTATAAACATCTATATGCCAACAAATTTGAAAATCTGGAGGAAATGGATAAATTTCTGGATGCATACAAATTACCAAAACTGAGCCAAGAAGATACAGAATATCTGAACAGACCAATAACAATAAAAGAGATTGAAGCTGTTATCAGAAGTTTCCCTACAAAGAAAAGCCCAGGGGCTGGCCCATGGCTCACTCAGGAGAGTGCGGTGCTGATAACACCAAAGCCATGGGTTCAGATCCTATATAGGGATGGCCGGTTAGCTCACTGGCTGGGTGTGGTGCTGACAACACCAAGCAAAGGGTTAAGATCCCCTTACTGGTCATCTTTTTTTTAAAAAAAAAAGGAAAGAAAAAACGAAAAGCCCAGGACCAGATGGGTTCACTGCAGATTTCTACCAAATCTTCAAAGAGGAACTGATACCAATTCTCTACAAACTGTTCCAAAAGATTGAAACAGAGGCCATTCTCCCAAACTCTTTCTATGAGGCAGATATCACCCTGATACCAAAACCAGACAAAGATGCATCAAAAATAGAAAACTATAGGCCAATATCCTTGACAAATATAGATGCAAAAATCCTCAATAAAATACTAGCAACACATACACAAAATTATACACCACGATCAAGTGGGGATGCAAATCAATAAATGTGATATGCCACGTTAATAAAAGCAAAGACAAAAAGCGCATGATCATCTCTATTGATGCTGAAAAAGCATTTGACAAAACTCAACATCCTCTCATGATAAAGACTCTCTACAAGTTAGGCATAGATGGAAAGTATTTCAACATAATTAAAGCCATATACAATAAGCCCACTGCCAATATCATCCTGAATGGAGAAAAAAAAGCTTTTCCCTTAAAAACAGGAACTAGACAAGGATGCCCACTCTCACCACTCCTATTCAGCATAGTGTTGGAAGTACTAGCCAGAGCAATCAGAGAAGAGCAGTCTGACTGACTGGATTAAAAAGATGGACCCAACAATATGCTGCCTTCAAGAGACTTGCCTCACCTGTAAAGACACACGTTGACTAAGAGTGAAAGGATGGAAAAAATACCATGCAAAAAGAAATGAAAAACAAGCTGGAGTAGCCATTCCTATATCAGATAAAATAGACA